GGGGCAGGGCATCTCCTCTGGTAACAGCCTCTCTGTTTCAAGTCTTATCTCCTAGTAGCTCAGAGCCAGAGAGACTAGGCTGACAATGCCCAGTACTGATTAGAAATCTGGTTCAATTTGAAAAACATGGCTAAGAAAAAGTGTGAAACTGTATAGCTTTTCCTATACAGCAAAACCCAGACTAGTCACCAAGAACACGTTTCTATTTGTTTTTATGAAACTGGCTACTTGGAATACTGTCATAATGGCTACGAAAACAAACTGGAGGGAATGGCCTGACATCTTATGTACCTGATGGTGCGTTTTGGCAATTGTGCATTAATACCAACGACCAAACGTAATTTAAAAGCATGAGGTTTATTATTTCATTCACTGGACTAATGTCAGCTTACAGTTTTGATTTTAAATGATTACCTGTTTCCTTAATACTGTTGCCAAACAAGTAAGAATTACAGTAATAGTAATAAAACCATGTGAGTGGGAGAAGCATGTCAATACACAATGTTCAACAGATCCCAGTGCTACACTTGTTTCATAAGGGGCCTTCTCTGGAGGTTTGCAAACCTTATCACACCCAAATGTAAAACTGTTTCCTCACATCAAGCCAGTGACATTTGGGTTCTCTTTTGTGCTATCAGCTGCCAGAATCAGAGCTGCTTATGTATTCTACTGGAATAACTGCATCTTCCTCTAGTCGGTCTCTACAAAAAGACCAGTTTCAGTTTGCATGATTTTTTTTCTTCTTCAATGGTTATGCAGACAAGGAATCATTTCTGGGACAAAACTGTATTTTTAAAGTCTTTGTTCTTTTCCTTGAAATGTATAATGTACAAATAAAGTAAATGGAACACAGGATAACTCGTTTTCTATTTATTTGTAACTCACATCATCCTGGAAAGCATTTTGAACCTGTATTCCAAACAGAATTTGAAGAAACACGGTAATAGTTGAGATTTATGATATGTTCATATGGTTTCAATTTTGGCCATCGATCAGTTCTGAGCTATTACAGAGAGAACTCTCAGGATACTCATGACACATGGTAATTTTCGTTATTTCCTTTTTCTCTAGCAGTCATTCTCAAACAGAAATGTCAGTGTTTGCTAAAGAAGAAATTAAATTTCTTTGGTTACAATTACACCTCTATTAACAAAACGGGGCATGTTCCTACCACTCACACAGTTGTCAAGTACTTTATTACTACCCCAGTTGTCACACACTCGATAGGGGAGCACAAGGAGTATTGGAGCAAATTAGAAAAAGACAGTTACAGGACGAAAATTATCAGTTGTGCCAGAAAACAGAATGACTCTTTGTAAGGATTAACATTCTTTAAACACATACCACATGTTGGCAAACACAGTCCATGCCCACCACAGCTTTGGCAGCCTGGGTGAGTGAAGTGAGATAGCACGGCAGCCAACTAAGCCAAGTACTTTAAAAAAGTCACCAGGGGTAAGTGACTTTGCCCCTGAAGAGTATCCAGAGGTACAAATCAAGTCTTCTCTGGAGCTGCTAAAACACATTCCTTATCTGAATGGCTTGAAATGACATCACAACAGTCATAGGATTTTTAAAGCAGGAAGGGGCCTTTGAGGTCTCTGCCTAGTAGAAGAGCTTGTGTGTTCGTAGAAGACATCAGGGCACGATCCACACGCCTTTACAACGGTCTACACGCCAGGCCTCACCTGATCTGGCCCTGTTCCCTCACCCCGTCAGTTGCCACTCTCCTCCTGCTCACCTGGCTAACTCTACAACAGCCCACTTAATACTGCCTGAACAGGCCAGCTCTTCACTGGTCCTCCTGCCTGTTCCTCCAGTGTCTGCAGGGCTGAGTCCCTCACTCCACTCAGGTCTCTGGTTCAAGTCTACTCGTCACTGAGGTGCTTTTCCGTGACTCCATCTAAAAGGACAGAATGGTCCCCATTCTTCTACCACTTTTCTTCAAGCATTATTTTCCTTCACAGCATTTATCGCTGCCTAAAGCTACATATTTTTTATTGCTTGTCTGCAGTAGACTAATAAGGTCCATAACGGCAAGGCTTTGTCCTCAGTGCCGCAGACGGCAGTTACTGAAAGCTAACATTTACCCTCTAAACTTTAGTTCTCTCATCTGCACAGCGGAGAGCGAGAGTGAGCAACCTCACAGAGGTGCTGGGAGGCCTAAACAGCTTAAGAATACATGCAGATCATTCACTAGTTCCCAGTGCTCAATGAAAGGTGGTTCTTTGTCAACAGTTACTTAGTTGCCTCACTTCCACAACTGGGACTAGGCCCGCTCTAGTGCCCCTTCCTTCTGTTGTGTCAGTCTGAAGCCACGACTGAGAATGAAGGTACACGCCTGACCGAGCTCCCAGAGGGAACCAGTCTTCTCAGCCACCAGGGTGATCACATCCTCCAGATAAGACAGGACACGACTCTTCAGTCCCCTCAGAGCCCTGCAAGGAGACCTGAGGCAGGCCCTCCACTGGTCCCACAGGCACGCTCAGGCACAGGGAGTGTCTCCGACCTTCCCAGAGGAAAAATGTAACTCACTAAAACATTGGTCACACTACCAGAAAATACTGAGAATCTAAGAACCAGGCCCTAGAAATAGACATGGATGGGCTCTGTCTTCATGGAGCTAAATGTGACACCACTAAAAACCCCACTTAGTGAGCTGCATGAATT